GTCCTCGTGATTGTGCCGCAGCTGCTCGCGCTGCTCCAGCAGCCGGCGCCGCAGGTTGATGAGCAGCCGGTTCCGGCGCAGCAGCGCCAGCAGCTCCTGGCGGAGGCGCCAGTTGTCAGCCTTGATGGCCTGCGTGTGCGCGATGAGCGCGCGCGCCGCCTCCCGCTCCGCGCGCCGCCCCAGGGACTGCACGCGCTGGCGCGCCTCGCGCTCGAAGGCCGCCTGGTCTTCCATGAAGCGCCGCTTCACGCGGTGCAGCAGCTGCGTGTGCTCCACGCGCATGTGCAGCAGCTCGCGCTCCAGAGTCCGGATCCGCGCCAGCTGCTCCAGCTGCAGCTCCTGCGGCGGGAGCGCGGTCAGCGCCGGGGTGGGGAGCGTGCCCCCCTCGCGTGGGCCCCCGACCCGTCCTAGGGCGCGCGCGCACTGGCCTTGTAGGGCTGCAGCTCCTGGACCTTCCGGGCCATCCGCTCTGCGCGGGTCTCCATCTCCAGCAGCTGCGCGCGCACCCCGTCCTCGCGACCCTGGTAGAGCGACGCGAGCTCAGCTCGCTGCCAGTGGATCTGGGCCAGGTCCACGCGATTCTTCTCGTCCAACGTTATGATGGCGTTGGAGCAGCGCTGCGCATGCACGGTCAGGTAGTTGGCGTAGAGCCGGTTCTCATCGCGCATGCGCAGCGCCTCGCTGTCCAGGAAGGCGTTTTCTCGCAGGACCTGGTCCACGCGGCCGGAGCAGGAGTCCATCAGCTCCGAGAGCAGCTGGCACTCGTGCTGCAGGTACTGGGCGCGCTCCGACAGCTGCGGCTCCGCGCCTCCGCCGGCGCGCCCGCCGGTCGCCCCGCGCTTCTTCTTGGGCGCCATGGGCTTGGGGCGCCAGGACTCGTGAGGACACCGTGCGCCGCCCGCTCCACCTGCTCAGCCCCTCACCTGCGTCCGCCTCCAAATCCTGGGTCCTCGTCCACGGTCGGGATGCTTCTCTGGGGCACAGGCTGGGGGCGGGGGGCAGACACAGGGCCACATCCGGGCGGGCGTCTCCAGACTTCGGCTGCGCCCGGGAGCACCGCACATGGATAATGTTGATGCTGGGCGGGCGCGGTTTCCCGGTTTCTGCGGGAACAGAACGCAGTCGCTTCCCCACCCTACATGGTTCCTTGGGCAACGCGGGACTGCTTCATTCCGGGCAGTTCTCTCCTCCAAGTCCTGTGCGTGCGGAGGGGCGGGACCCGCGTGGGCGAAGGGGCGTGGCCCGCGGGAGGGGGCGGAGACGCGGGAGGAGGGCGTGGCCCGCGGGAGGGGGCGGAGACGCGGGAGGAGGGCGTGGCCCGCGGGAGGGGCAGAGACGCGCGGGGCTTAGGCTTCGCGCACTGGCCTTCCTGGCCGCCAGCAGTCCCGCAGACCGTTTTCTGAGGGCCAGGGTCTTAGCGTCCTCGTCTGCTGTCTATCCGGTTCCTTCCGCGCCCGCCCGTGCGGGCCCCAGACGTCCCCACGGCCTTTCCTCTCCCGAGGAGCCCTGGCCCTGCGGCCTCCGTGGGACTGGGGTAAGGCCAGCATTAAGTCCCGCACATGCCCCGCCGCGGCCCAGAGCCCAGTGCGTTCTTTCGGCGGCTCCCAAGCCCGCGCGTGTCCGTCAGTGCGTGGGCCCTTGCGGGGCGAGCCGCTGGGGTCGGATCGTGCGGGGCCTCCGCGCTTCTCGCCGCTAGGGAACGGGCGCGGCGTGGCCCTCGACGGCCCGGGGCCAGCGGCGTGCTGGAGGGGCTGCGAGGTCGAGTCCTGGGCCGAGCCAGCTCTGCCGAGCTCGGTGCGGGCCGCCCTGCGGGCCCTGGGGCGGCTGCTGTGTGGTGACAGGGTTCGGAGCTCCCGGCTGCCCGGCCGCCGCCGCCGGCGGGAGTGGCGTCCCGGCGAAGGGGCCGCAGCTCAGAAGACAACGCGAAGCCTTCGCCGGGAACTCACCTGAGCGGTTCAGACCCCGGCAGCTCCCCGGTTCCGGCGCGGCGGTCCGCCCGGTGCCGCGCCCCTCGCCCG